CCGGGCTGGGGATTCGAACCCGCCACCTTAGCTGTATGTGGCTGGCGCCCCAGCTGCTTGAGCCACAGGCGCCGAGCCCATTTTTCAACCACATTAGTGAACTTTGGTACCACACTGCCAGGTGTGATTCCTGGCTGTCATTTTTTTTTTTTTTGAGACAGAGTCTCAAGCTGAGTAGAGTGCTGTGGCGTCACAGCTCACAGCAACCTCAAACTCTCGGGCTTAAGTGATTCTCTTGCCTCACCTGGCTGTCATTTTAATTAAAGTCACTTTAATCTCCCTGTGCCTTAGTTTCCTCTTCTGTAAAGTAAGGATTCTACCTCATGTAGGATTGCTATGATTAATGTTACTATCTGTACAGCATTTAGAAAGTACCAGACACACAGTAATTATTAGTTATCATCATCAAATACATTCTGATTTGCCATGAACTTTTTCTTACCATAAATAATCCCTGTTTTATTCTGATATTTGTGCAAGATGACTTCTTTCTGAGAACTGTTAATACCCAACATGCTAGAAGCTGGCAAAAGTCGCTCATGATGATCTAATGCTGGGATATACATTGATTTTCTTTTTCCTCTGTGTCTTCTACCAAATAGCTGGGTGACTGCCTTCCTAGAAAAGTCATTATCTTCAGTGGATCCAGTGGGAGAGTTGACTTCAGCTTTTGAGAGACGTTTCTGAGGATTCCTTGAACTTGGCTGTTCTGCGCGTGTGTCAGACATCCTAATTTTACTTTGGTCAGTTTTCTCATTGGAAAGGTTTAAGTTTTTATTTGCTTCCTTACTTTTAGACCCTTTTTTCCTGACACCCAAATGACTTTGAATTACAGCCTCCAGGGCTACTTTTCTCTGGCAATTTGACATACGTCGTGTTGTTCTAATATAATATTCTGCAGGAAACAGAAGCCCATCAAGCATTGTGCAAGAATGCATTTGATTTTCTGTAGAAGCAGGAGAGACTGCTTCTAGGATAAGACTCTTAGATTGATTCAGATTCTCATTTTCCTGGTAACATTCATTTCTACCACTAAGAGCATCACTGGGAGATTGTAAAGATTTCTCTATGTGATTCTGTTCTTTTAAGTTTTGGTCTTTGTTTCCTGGTAAGTTATTGTAAGTAACTTCATTTATAGAACATGCATTATCCGCCTCTGAATTAAGACTTACAGATAGCTGGCCATCTGCATTTATAGCTTTATTTACTACTAGGTTATCTGTAAATACAGTCACTGTTTTGCTGCGTGCCTTCACGTTTACAGATGAAGCAAGGCTAATGTTTTTTAACCCCTGAGTAATAAGTTCACAGTTACCTTTAGGAGGCATATGTTCCAGGTACTGACTATTACTGCTATATGATGAAGTATGCAAAGAAACTGTAGTCTCCCTGGGGAAATTAGTTCCTTTTAAAAGGGTATCAACACTTCTTTCTGGTGTGGCAGTGGGTAGAATCAATTCACCCTTTCCATCACTTTCTGTCACTTGTGCTGCACAATCTGGAAGTTCAGACTTGGGAGGACTTGAGAGAGTTCTTATTTTAGTTACTGGTGGGTTAGGAGTTTTGCTACTGTTTTCTCTCTTTAGTCTTTTTTCAGAGAGTATGAGTGAATCAGTGTCAAAGACACATTCTCCCTCTTGTGAAATAAATGTTTTCTTCTGCTTTTTTCTCCTCTCTGGAATTTTAGTCTGACTTTGCTTATTATCAGGGCCACTGACCCTTTGGGGAAAATGTTCTTGGATATCATCGGTTCTTTGTGTAAGTAATCCTTCTGGGCCATCTCCAGGGTTAAAAGACCCAGGGTCAACATCATGTGTGACAGATGTCTTTTTTCTGGTTTCCTCATCAAGATGGGTGTTGAATTGTAACTTGCCATAATGAGATACTTTGCTTTTAGGTTCTAAGGAGGAAAAAAAAGTATGTAACTAATATTTTCCTTTAAAAATGAAAAAAAAAATTAATCCATGTTTATTTTTAAAGAGCATATATAAACACTACCAAACATTTATTTAAATAAGAATCAATGGCATTTCATTCAGGCAGATCCAAGTTCAAGTTTTTTTTTTTTTTTTTGAGACAGAGCCTCAAGCTCTCCCCCTGGGTAGCGTGCCGTGGCATTACAGCTCACAGCAACCTCCAACTCCTGGGCTCAAGCGAGTCTCCTGCCTCTGCCTCCCAAGTAGCTGGGACCACAGGTGCCCGCCACAACGCCCGGCTATTTTTTGGTTGCAGCCGTCATTGTTGTTTGGCGGGTCCGGGCTGGGGATTCGAACCTGCCACCTTAGGTGTACGTGGCTGGCGCCTTAGCCGGTTGAGCTATAGGCGCCGAGCCCAAGTTCAAGTTTTTAAAATACTAATACACTATGGAATTTTAGGTAAAGATAAACAATATAAACACACAGAATTGTTCTTAATATTTTTAGGCAGGGTGTGGTGGCTTTACACTTATAATCCTAGCACTCTGAGAGGCCCAGGTGGGAGAATAGCTTGAGCTCAGGAGTTTGAGATCAGCTTGAGCAAGAGTGAGGTCCTGTCTCTATTAAAAATAGAAAAAGCCCAGGTGTGTGTGTATAGTCCCAGCTACTCAGGAGGCTGAAGCAGGAGAATGGATTGAGCCCAAGGGTTTAAGGTTGCCATGAGCTGTGATGATACCACTGTACTCTAGCTTGGGCAACAGAGAGAGACTCTATCTCCAAAAAAGTTATTTTTTTAAACTAAAATATTATCTATTTTTTAGCACAATCTTTTTTTTTTTTTTTTTTTGAGACAGAATCTCATTTTCTCACCCTTGGTAGAGTGCCATAGCAGCACCACACTGCTCACAGCAACCTCCAGCTCTTGGGCTTAGGTGATTCTCCTGCCTCAGCCTCCTGAGTAGCTGGGACTACAGGCACTCGCCACAACGCCAGCTATTTTTTTTATTTTTATTTTTTGCAGTTTGGCCAGGGCCGGGTTTGAACCCACCACTCTCCTTATATGGGGCAGGTGCCCTGTTAACTGAGCCACAGGTGCCGCCCAATCACAATCATTTTTTAACTTGTATTTTTTGAGACCAAGCCTCAAGCTATTGCCCTGGGTAGAGTGCTGTGGTCACAGCTCCCAGCAACCTCCAACTCTGGGTTTAAGCGATTCTCTTGCCTCAGCCTCCCAAGTAGCAGGGACTACAGGCGTCTGCCACAAAGCCCAGCTATTTTTTGCTTGTAGTTATCATTGTTTGGCAGGCCCAGGCCCGATTCAAACCCTTCAGTCAGCTCTGGTGTATGTGGCTGATGCCCTAGCCCCTTGAGCTACAGGCCCCACTCCATTTTTTAACTTTTTAAATTCACCAAATTTTTTACCTCATATATTTTTTTGTTCTCTGGCTCAAGTAATTTAAAATAATACTCCAATCTCAAATGGCCCTCAATTTTACAGTTATATATATAAATTACTTGAATTTAAACACCAGAAATAACTTTATTTTTTTTTGAGATAGGGTCTTACTTTGTTGCCAGGGCCTCTTAGAGTGCAAGGGTGACATCATAGCTCAATGCGACCCCAAATTCCTAGGCTCAAGTGATCCTCCTGCCTTACCCTCCTGAGTAGCTGGGATTATAGGTAATCACCACTGTGCCCAACTGCCTTTTTTTTTTTTTTTTTTTTTTAAGAAAGTCTTCCTATGTTGTCCAACTCGGTCTCAAAGTCTTGGCCTCAAGTGATCCTCCTGCCTTGCCCTCCCAAGTGCTAGCATCACAGCCGTTAAGTCACAACACTCAGCCATAAAATGACCATTGTTTTTTAGGGGTATTTCCATCCACATTCTTCACTCTGTTCATACATAAATACTTAAATTTTCTTTTTCTTTCTTGGTTTGTAAAGTTTATTTAATTATTTTTTTAGATAGAGGGTCTTGCTCTGTCATCCAGGCTGAAGTACAGTGGCACAATCATAGCTCACTACAACCTCAAACTTCTGGACATGCAATCCTCCTACCTCAGCCTCTCAAACCGCTTGGACTATGGGCACACACCAGCACACCAGGTTAATTTTAAAATTTTTTTGGTAGAGATGGGGTCTTGCCTTGTTGCCCAGGCTCGTCTTGAACTCCCAGCCTCAAGCAAATCTCCTGCCTTGGCCTCCCAAAGTACTGGGATTACAGGCATGAGCCACTTAGCCTGGCCAATTTTATTTTTATATAACCTTTCCAATATTTAAATAGTAACTATAATTTCTAAAAGTTGAGAGGGGGAAAAAAAGCAACCAAATAAACAATCCCATTGAAAACATAGCTTATTGAGTGGATCTTATGTCACATGGATTTTATGTTAAGTAAAGAGTCTATTACTAGTCCTTGTCTTCAGTCTGTGAGAAAAAGAACAGCCGAATGTACCTGGGAAAATGAATTATTATTGGAATTTCTAAGCATAAATGAATGGGCTAGCCTTACCTGAGTGGTTTATCTGTGGTGAGATTTCCTGCTGGGGCAAGCAATCTTGTTCTACTGTTTTCTTAATAGTACTCTTAACCTTTTCAGCTCTTTGGGACCGCTAAAGAAAACAAAAGCAGCTCAAGAAATAAATTGTTTTAAGAGCTTGGTTATTGTCAAGAATTGTTCTTATGTAGTTTATACTACATGTATAACACCTTGAGAGTACAATTCACTTACCTGAAGGCGGGCTAGTGTCTTGCTGTATTCCCTTTTCAAGAATGCTAATTTTTCCTTCAACTGGAAGAAGAAAAACACCAACAATACTGAGCAGCTGGAAAAGTAGAGTCAAAGGGAAGGGATGCAGTGACCACCAGACATGAATATGCAGTGCTCAGAGGGTCCCTCAGCAAGATGCAGTGGCGGGAGTGGCACTGGCTCATCCTGACTTACTTTCTTTTTTTTTTTTGAGACAGAGCCTCAAGCTGTCCCCCTGGGTAGAGTACTGTGGCATCACTGCTCACAGCAACCTCCAACTCCTGGGCTCAAGCACGTCTCCTGCCTCAGCTTCCCAAGTAGCTGGGACCACAGGCGCCCGCCACAACGCCTGGCATTTTTTGGTTGCAGTCATTATTGTTGTTTGGTGGCCCAGGCTGGATTTGAACCCGCCACCTTAAGTGTATGTGGCTGGCGCCTTAGCTGCTTGAGCCACAGGCGCCGAGCCCCTGACTTACTTTCAAGTCTCAAAAAGCACCAAGCTCTTTACTATCTCAGGAGCTTTGCAGAAACAGTTCTTATCACCTGGAGCATTTCCTCCCCTAGCTAATTCCTACTGATTCCTCAAACCTTCGCTTAGATTTTTATTTTGGGGGGTAGCAGACCTTTAGGTCCCTCTCCAAATCTAGGTCAAACACTCCACCCGTCCTCTGTGCTTCCCTTATCACAGTAATTACCACACCATGTTGCTTATTTATTCCTCTGTTTCACCCCATCACCTTGAGATCCTCAAAGACAGCAGGCAGGAGCTGCTATCTTCAATCATTGAACAAAGGACTCTTTTTACTTGTTAGTTAATGGTCTAGGTATCTCTAGTATCTGGAACAACAGCTGACACATAGTATTCTAGAGACAGAGTAGTCAGAGCAATCTACATACAGTGAGAGATACAGACAATAAAACAAACAGATAAGATGATTTTACAAGGTTATAAAAACTTAGATAAGCAGGGTGATATGAGAGAACTATTAGCTTATTGATGGGACTACTTAAGCTAGAGTGGTCAGGAAGGCATGTCTGAGAACTGCCATTTGAGCCTAGACCTGAAAGAGGAAAAAGCCAGCTTTGCCAGGCAGGGAGCACCACAATATATAAGCTCCATGGTGGAATGGATTAAGTTTATCTGAGGAACACACAGAAGGCCAGTGAAGTTGGTGCTTTCACTGCTGAATTCCCAGCAGTGGAAGTCAACAGCAGGCATTCAACAAAGATTTATTAAATAAATAAATGAACTCGACTGAGTCAAATTACTCTTCTCTGAAACTTTAGATTCCCTTTGTCATCTGTGGGTCAAAGGATTCCTTAACAGCAAAGCCGCTCCTGTTTTTTCCTGCTTTCGAGGAACCTATTAGAGGCACTCATCCTAATAAAATGTCACCAAGATTTCTATCCTCAGAATCCATCTTAAAAAAAAAAAAAAAAAAACTACTACCTGCAAAACTTGCTAATAGACAAGGTGGCAACTGTGTGAATTTTTCTTAGCTAATTTTTCTTCCTGGCATTCTGTTTATCACAGCACTTCTGGTACTAAAGGAGTCACCTCTGTCCTACTCATTCTCTCTTTTTTTTACTGAGATAGAATCTTACTCAGTCACCCTGAGGTTGAGTGCCCTGATTTCATAGCTCACAGCAACCTCAAATTCCTGGGCTCAAGCGATCCTCTTGCTTAGCCTCCTGAGTAGCTGGGACTACAGGAGCCCACAACAGGAGGGCTAGTTTTTGTTTTCTATTTTTAATAGAGACGGGGTATCACTCTTGCTCTACTCAGATGAACCACTTGCCTAGACCTCCCAAAGTGTTGGGGCATGAGCCCACACCCCGGCCCCTACTCATTCTCAAATACACAATAATAAAACTAGCTGACACTTATTATGTGTCTCAGTTGGTGCTCAGACTTTTCTAAGTGATGTCTATATACTGACTCCTTTAACACTCACAATGACCCTAATAAGTAGATTTTATTATCCTCATTTTATGTAAAAGCAAATGGAAACACAGATTAAACAACTTGTCTAAAATCATGCAGTTTATAAATGATTTTATAAACCCAAGTAGCAAGATTTTAGACTATGTGCTCTTAACCCTTATGCTTCCCACCAACTATACCAATATCAGAGAATTATCTTCTTTACTTGTAAATGATCTTTCTCACCCCCCACCAGAAGGTAAGCCAAGACAAAACTAATGACTTAACGGGAATGAGTTTGGTACAACTTAGCCCAGCAAGCACAAGATACATTCAAGTTACTAACATCAGCATAAGCTGGAAACAACCTAACAGTCTGTCAGCAGAGTAATATGAAAAGAAACGAGGGTGCTTTCAAACTATAATATACTACATGGAACTTTTTTCAAAAGTAGAGTCAATGTGTCCCAGCACGAATGTTAAACATGAAGAAAAACGGAAGCTGCAGAAGCATTCTGATCGTACCATTTATGAGCATTCTATTCTCCAAAATAAACATACAGTATTACTTGGTGGTTAGCGATACACTCCGCCCCCTCCACAGACACAAACCAAAGAACGAAAAGGTGTGGAAGTACCAAACTGTTAAAAGATTTACGTGGCTCAAGTGGCTAAGGCGCCAGCCACATACACCTAACGTGACGGGTTCGAATCCAGCCCGGGCCCGCCAAACAACAACGATGGCTGCAACAACAACAACAAAAAAATAGCCAGACGTTGTGGCAGGCGCCTGTGGTCCCAGCTGCTTGGGAGGCGGAGGCAGGAGACTCGCTCGAGCCCAGGAGTTGGAGGTTGCTGTGAGCTGTGATGCCACAACACTCTACCCAGGGTGACAGCTTGAGGCTCCGTCTCAAAAAAAAAAAAAAAAAAAAGATTTACGTGAAGGGATAGGATGAAAGAGGTGAAGACTTAGTGCGGGAGGAAGAGTGTCAAAGGTGATGTTATAAAGTTTTACACTTTGTATTTATGCATTGCTACTGCAGTGAGAATTTGTTTGGCAAATGCCGCCACGTGAGCACACTTTCATTTCCGTGCCCCCTCAGCCCTGAAAGAAGGGGAGTTGAGAGGATAACGCTGCCCTCGGACTGCAAAGGAGACAAACCCAGGTCTAAACTCCAGGGAAAGCGGGGTCAGAGTCCTGCGTCCCCCCTTCCCGCACCCCCAGGCACCTTTTCCTTCTCTTCACAGCTGAGGGGCTTCCCGAGAGGGTCGTCCATCGGGCAGGCGGCGGAACGAAAAGCGCAAGCGTCGCTGGCCCTAGGTCTGCGGATCCCGGACCCAGAGGGCTCTGGGCCGGGAAAGCCCCCAGCGCGCGAACAGCTACACCTCGGCCAATTAAATCCAGCGCTCGACCTGCGCACGCGCAGCCGGAGAGTGCCGAGCAACGGAGCGGGGCCGCCGAGAGGAAAGCCGAGCTGCGACCAGGCCGGAAGTAGCCGGGGGGAGCAGCCGGAAGCGCCGGCGGCTCCGACAGACAAACTGACAGTCTGTGACAGGATCCCTGCTGCGGAAAGGACGTGGTGGCCATGGAGTTGGGCGAGCTGCTGTACAACAAGTCCGAGTACATCGAGACGGTGCGTGCGTCCGGTCATCCGTCCTCCCCTTTCCAAGCCCACGTCCCTGCGAGGCCGGGCCGGCGGCCGCAGCCTGTCCCTGCCCCACCCACCCCGGGGCCCTTTGGCAGTTAGTCCGGGATTCTCTGGGGACGCTTCGGCTGGGGCCCGGCTTTCCTGGTTGGTACGTGCATAGGGCCACTTTAGGCTTTTTGCATTTATTTTTAATTTTCTCGTAGCGATAAAGTGCCCTCAGAAGGACAGGACAAGTCTCATCCATCCTTTTTTTTTTTTTTTTTTTTTATTTATTTATGTATTTATTTATTTATTTTAAGAGACAGGGTCTCGTTCTGTCTTCTGGGCTAGAGTGCAGTGGCCTGGTCGCTGTAACCTCTAACTCATGGGCTCAAGGGATCCTCCTCAGCCTTTCAAGTAGCTAGAACTATAGGCATGCCACCAACTCAGCTAATTTTTTTTTTTTTTGAGACAGAGTCTCACTATGTCCCCCTGGGTAGAGTGCCATGGCATTACAGCTCACAGCAACCTCCAACTCCTGGGTTCAAGCGAGTCTCCTTCCTCCGCCTCCCAAGTAGCTGGGACCACAGGCGCCCACCACAACGCCTGGCTATTTTTTGGTTGCAG